TTTGCTGCTGTTACGTTGAATAATGATGGCTTGATATAATCTGTGTGACGTTAATTTTTAGGGAATTGTCCTCACTGTGGAAAACTGACATGTCAGTATGATAATGCAAAAACTGCTTTGTCCAGGTTGTTATTTTGGCTTCAGCTGTTTCTGTATTAGCTGATGTGTAGAGGGAGAGAAAGGAGAGCAATTCACGTTGTTTTGTAGTGTAGACGCATTGAAAAAGTGGTGTTGATTTATGCCATGCCTTCAGATAGATTTTTTCAGTTGTAGTAGCCAGATGAAATGTCAGCACTTGGGGGAGAGAGTGGAATAGGGTTATTTGTCTGTAAAGTACACTGTAGGACTGATTAATAATGTTAGTTTTCTGCATAATTTGAGAATTTTTCTTTTGCTTGAACACATACGTGTATGATGGTCCTCTTTCACAGGCTCACCTAATAGGCTTAAAATCTAAAGGTTGCTAGTGAAGCTAGAAGTGGATTGACTTGATTATTCCTTGTAGCTCTTTAAGAGCAGAACTGATTTATGCTGCACCAAGATTTTCAGTGTGACGCAGTGTACCACCACATAATCAGGTGGCACTATAACCATAAAAGTGGGAAGATGGCACCCTGAAGATGGGAAGCAGGAAGAACAGGTTGATGGTAGAGGAGGGCTCATGGAGTCTGGCTGCAAGAGGCTGGCTATGCTTTTCTGGCTGCAGCTTTTATCATTAAGCTGGAAAGCACAAATGAAAGAAATACAGTAGAAGCCCAAAAATATTTCAGCCTGTCACTGTTGGTGCATGCCTGTCTTTCATGCTTCCAAATACAATGTTCCTGCGTATGTCTGTGTGTGTCTCCAGCTCCACTCTTCTTTCAGTTACTTTCATCTGCTGCAGTTGGATTCAAAGTGGCTGCTGATCAGCATGTTGTCTCAGTGCAAGGTAAGGTCTCCTGTCTTCCACTGAGATCTCAATTGAGCTTCCAGCTACTGATCTGCTTAACAGCCACTGGTGTCCCATAGTTAATAAGCATTTGCTGCTGATCAGCTACTGCAAAATGCAGCTAGGGCCAGGTGCAGCAGTGGCTCCAAAGCATGTGGAGCTGTGGTCACAGCAGCTGGTCAGCAGCCTTGGAGATAACTGTTTTTTTCCTGGGAGGGGACAGACAGGGCTAGTTAACTGCCTGGTGGTAGTTGCGTTTTGAAACACTGATTACCTGTGGTTACCAGTGGTAGCCCCCTAGTTCCAGCATAAATGGAGCAGCAGTAGCGTGATCTGGAGCTGGGAGCAAGTAGAGAACTTGATGGTTTAAAGGGTGCTGAGTGAGCCGTAAGCAATGAACTTGATCAGATGCGGTGAACCCCAGACACTGAGCAGTTTCTTCTCACCTGCCAGTATTTGACAAGGTAGGAACAGGGACACTGCTTTGGTGTAGCGTGCTCTGCTCCCCAGTTCACACCCTTTCTGTCCTCGCCTTCAGAAGTTCCCAGGACAACTGTCTCTGGGCTACCCAGCGTGCGGAGATGAGCAAGTCCAATGCTGTCCTCATGGGCTGCAAGGCCAAGAATGACCGCCACACTGGGCTGTCTTGTATGGGGAGGCATGCCTGGCACGTTCTCACCTACCTAGTGTGGCCAGATGTGTCTGGTGGTGTGTCTGGTGGTGTGGCTGTGTATCGTTTGAGCTTGCCGTGAAACATGGAAGGGAGAGGTTGAACTGAAATATGGTGGTAGAGACATGGTGAAAGGACGGATGCCGAATAGATGAGAATTGTTTGCAGCCTTGTATTTCAGTTTTGGTCTTCTGTAGCATGGTCATACAACAGTACCTTTCACTCCTCTGGCAGACAAGCTTTGTGCTATCCAAAATATTTCTGCAAAAATCCTCTGCATTGACACTGACACATTGAGAGGGAAGGATGTTTCCCTCTCAAAGCTAGCAACTGTTAAGAGATTTGGAAGAGTAATTCAGGCTGTTACCTGTGCTTTGTTCTGCAGATGCCCTTTTGTAAAACCATAAATCCTAACCCGCCCCAAGGAGCTCTTTAAGTGATGTTATTAGCTTGGTTCAAGTCAAACAGCCCGACGTTCTTTGAACAGAAGTAATATGTGAGGTTGATGGTCTGTATTCCTCTACTTCAGCTCAGACCTTGAAATTCATCTCTGCCACGAGCACGCATGGTTTGTTTTCAAATGCGTGGCAAATGAATATTTTATGAGGTGGCTGTGGCCAAATGCTGCAGGATGGCCTTTGATGTGCTTGGTAGCCAAGCGGCTTTAGCTGTGTTGGCAGAGCCCTCTGCTGGGAAGGCAGCCTGTGCCAGCAGCAGCCGGTCCTGCGGGCAGTGCCACCCACTGCTCTCCTGTGCCAGCAGCCAGCCCTCTCTGCTCGGAGTGTCCCACCGTGCTGGGAGCCACCACGTTGGCTCCAGTGGCCCAGGGGTTCCCCTTCATTCCCTTCCCAGCTAGGGCAGCAGAGTGGAGGGCACTTGACCTTTTTTTTTTTAGCAAACCTGATGGCGTGCTGTAAGCGTATGTATAACTTTAGGTGCTGCTTTGCAAAATATGACTGCTCTTTAAGAGTAATACAGTTAGTGAATTACAAGATAATATTTTCCTAATTCATATCACGGTGTGGGAGACCTGTGACTAATTTAAAGAATTGCTTGTATGAATTCCAACGGTATCCGTAAACACCTTTTTTAAAAAGTGCCACTTAGTAGAAGCAACTGATTTACTTAAGCATACAGTGGGACATTGCTAAATCAAGAGGCACAGCCTTCCAGTTCTGCTTTTCCTAATCAAGGTGTTTGAGGAAAGGGGTTTTGTGTTCTAAAGTACCAACTTACTGAGCATGAAGGAAAAATGTTATTACACTTGTCTATCCTAATAGTATTCAAAAGCCTAGTTAGGGCTGCTAGAGGCACTGCCAAACCAGAATGTGCAAACAGGTCTTTTAATCTGATTAGGTCCCTAAAGTGTTGATATAATACAGGCCAATAACTCTCCTGCAGGAAATCCAGCTGTTTGAGATTGTCGCACAAGTAATGCAGTGGTAATAAAGTGTCTTTTTTTTCCTCCTCGCATGCTGTCCAGAGCTTTTCACTCACCATTGATTTGAAACACTCACAATTGCGCCCAGTATTTTATCTTCATTAAAATAAAAAAAGAGAAACGGGCACCATGGCTTGAAAAGGCAATTGCCTGTGGTGGGCAGGAACCCCCTCTGGTGAAGTTGCAGAGTGGCAGCAAGACAAAGGCCGTCATATTTTTGTGTCATTTCACTTGTTTCAGCATCAAGCTTTTGTTAAGACAGCCGTATAAATTCTTCCAAAAGCTAAATTAACCTTCATGGCCTATATTTGAAATGCCAATTTCAGTTCTCTGCCTTTGCGTTGAACTCCTCTGCTCCATGGCTGGGGTTCAGCCACAGAGAACCGCTCAGTTTGAGAGACCTGTCACGCAAGAGGCGGTCGCGTGGTGGAACTCCTTGCTGCAGGCTGTTGTGAATTCCCAACGCTGAATATGTTTCAGAAAGCAATTAAACACGCTTGCAAAAGGAAAATTCACCAGTATTAGGAGATGCAGATACTGCCTTTGTCTGAGAGTTCCTCAGCTGCAGCCAGGGGGATGGGGTGGGAGGTGCATGGCTGGGTGTATTCGCCCTCTTCCTCCTCACCCCTGGGTGAAGGCAGGATGCTGAACTAAATACGGCTCCTTAAGGCCCTGGAGAGGATGTGTTGTTGTGGTTCTTGTCCCCCACTGCTAATAACCAAAGGCACTGTGATGGGGGGAGTTCTGAGCTGTTTCTGATGGAAGGGGACTCTAACCCTCCTCCTGCAGCCCAGAGAAATTCTTTGTTGAGGGATATTGTTTCCAGAGGAACCTTCCAGTTTACCTGCAGTTCAGTCTGGCATTTCCTCTGGCCTGACGCTTTCCTCCCCTGTAATGAGTTTCATTATTACAAATGCACATAGGAGGCAGCACAAAGGTGTTAGTTTTGTTTTTTGTTTTTGTTTTTTTTTTCCTTGCAGGACAGCTTTTTTTTCGTATAGTGTTGTGGTCAGAGACTTTAATTCTCTGGCAGGTGGTATACTGGATGTTTTTCAAACCCTGCATCCTTGGGCTTTTAGGATACCCTCCATTCTGTGACTTTATGAAGCTGTTTAAAAGCTATTTTTCTAATTTCTGAATTGAAGTTCCCTTAAAGTTGCATTGCACAATGTCATCGTGAGTCAGATTCATAGAATACTGTCTTACTTGCACGGGTCATCTTGTTCCATGCTCTTTTTAAGATATTCACATGCAATTTTAATCCTGTGATGCACCAACCCTCCCAAGTTATCTATTGTAACTCAGAATTTCTAATGTAAATGTTGCTTTAACATTGCTCGTGGCTATCTCTAATCTCAGAGTCTCGTAACAAAATCTCTTGGAGAGTTCATGATCTTTTGTCTGTGCTTTTTATTTCAAATTCCTATTTTCTTGGGAAGTGGCTGATGATAAAATATTTGGAATTTTTTAAATAATCACAGCTCTTCTGAAGAACTTTAAGTCTAATATTACCGTTGGTATAGGCAGGTGAGAGCTTTGGAGATCAGTAATTTGTACCTTTTAAAAAGCCGCACTGCCTCGCTTTTGTCTCAGGATTTATTATGCTTCCCAAGTATAATGTGACATACTGAATAGGGCAGGGGGTGGGGACATTGTCTTCAGCTGACATGCTGTTATCAGCGGGACTGTGTTTCTGGACACAAGATTTCGCAGTCATTGGTTGTCCGAAGAAAGCCTTTCCATCTGAGGATTGGACAAGAAGATGCGTCAATTTGCTGCCCGTCTCCAAGGTACTGGTGATGCTGCCTCCACAAGCTGGCTAACGTCACAGCTCCATCACCCAGCGGGGTGTGGGCTTTTTTTCTCCTCTTCTCTGTTTTAATTCTGTATTTGCTTCCTACTGCATTTCTTAATCTGTCTTCTGCCAAATGCTAACAGCATGATATTTTGCAATCATTTAGGTGAATACAAGAAGGACGAACTCCTGGAAGCTGCTAGGTGAGTGCTGCTTAGAATATAAAGCATATTTCGGGGGTGGAAGCAGGAGAGGAAACGGGATTTTTTAAAACAGTAATGTTTTGTCATTGCCTTTCTGTGAAATGATGCAAACAGACCACTTCATTAGCATAGATCTCTTCGGACTTTACAGTCTGCTACAAATGGAAAAGCCTGTTTATATAATTGAAATCCCCCACTATGGTGGTTATGAGGTTAATATTGAGTTTTTGCTTTAAGCTGCTTAAATCTTCTTTATCGTTTTGTGACTGTTCTTTTTAGGGGCAAATTAAATATTGCAGTTTTTTTTCATTTGGTTTTTACTGCTACCTTAGGATGTATTTTGAAAATAGGCTTTATCATAACGGAGCATAAGGAAGCCTATACAAAAGGTGTAAAGTTCAGTCGTATATTCCAAAGATGCTTTCATCTTTCCTTCTGACAGCACGAGACCATTTTATATAGACTATTAACCCTTCTAAAATATTTCTGGTTACTGGTATGTAGTTGTTCAAACGTTATGGGCCGTATGCTATGAAAATGTATTTAATTGAGAACATTTAATTTGGCAAATGGCTTTCACAGGGTCTGTAAAATTACATAAAGGAAATATAGGGTAAGGTTAAGGACAGAAATTAAGAGGCGGTTTTGCATGATTTTTTGTAATACACTTAACTGCAAATTTAATATTTTTTTTTTTCTGTATTTACCCTTGATTTTGAAATGTTTGGAAGATCCTTTAACCCTCTGATGTTCTCCCTGGCAGAGTACAATTTTCAATATACTATACTTTGGTATCCAGCACCTTAGCAAATGTTTTGCAGAGAGCTCTCTTTTTTCCACTTTTCCATAATCCTCTCCTCTCCATTTACAGGAGCGGTAATGAAGAAAAACTGATGGCTTTATTGACTCCTTTAAATGTGAACTGCCATGCAAGTGATGGGCGTAAGGTAAGTTAATACCTGCTTTGTATTTCTGTTATTCAAGAAAGGCCAATTTAACCATACTGGAAAGCATAGATGTATAAACCAAGAGAGTGTATGGGGGAAAAACCTGTGATGTTTTTTCACTATGAAATTAAATGCTGTGTACTTGACGCTGGCAGTTGTGACAGAGCAACAGTCGGCGGACGTGGATTTTGTGTGTGTCTTTTCTTTTTAAATGTCAGACCCTGGTGTACATGTAAAGTGAAACCTTAAGACCTTTTATGAGAAAAACAAAGTGTACTGTTGCATATGAATTAAATAACTAAGTGTGGAAAGTTGTTATTTGTAATAGAACATTGTCTGGGGTGAGGTTTTTGGTATTCGGCTCGGCTCCTAATGCCCTGCCACGTAGACTGGCAGCGTATTGATGTGCTTAACACCTCCTGCATTTTCTTAAATTTGACACTATTGTTTTGACTTTCTCTGGCAGGGATGTTTGAATGAGTTAAATTAAGGATTAGGCTGAAACTGGAGGAGGGAAGAACATACGGAGTGAGAATTAGATCCTATGATTTTTGGTGTTTTAGACATCAAGATGATGGTCTGTCTAGACTGTTGGATTTACAAATGTTGATTATGACTGTGTACTAGAATGTTCTTAATCTGCATATCTTAAAAACCTTTCTCAGGTGTAACAGTACATCTCACTCTTGGAGAAAAAAGCTTGGGACTGTTTTTCTTTATAGTTTTCCTTATTTTTGGTGGAGTGTTTTGGAGCATAGAGTAAAGATCTGCCCATTCCAGAGATGATGTGGATGTAGTTCCACTGAAATCAGTGGGGATAGGCCAGTTCACGCTGCCTTTTCATTGAAATACATGTTTTTGCTGATTACAAAAATTTCCATTGTGAAAATATTCCTATTTTTAATACACATTTTCAAATGTTTTCTGAACTGTAATGCCTATGATACCTACTATGTGAAAGAAAACTCAGTTTTTTGCTTGTTTACATTTATCACCAATTGGAAGTTTTATGAATTTTCCAGGTTTTTAAAACAATTTTATGATCTGAGGATAGGTATATGATCAAGGGCTTTTTATTTAGTTCAGCTGTGTCAGAACTGATGAAATACTCCCCATATTTTAAGATTAAATATATTGCCCGTAGTTCTTTGTTTCTCTTTCTTTTTTTTTAAGACTTTACCATTCAAATGAGCTTATATTTAGGTAATAATAGTGCACTGTGTTATAATTAAGCAAGGTGGTATACAGCAGTGCATTATCAAGTAATTGAGTCCCCATCATTATTGATTTAAGGCCAAAGGCGGAGTTGTGATTTCTGTCAATATGGAGAGGAATAAGCCCTTGAAGATATGTTATCTAGAATCTATTTATCACTTTTTAAAAAGGAAAACCAAATCAAAACCAACCAAACAGAAAACCCTCCCGACTTTAAAATTCATATTCAGCTGGTGGAAAATATTTATGTTATTGCTGCCTCTGAATTAGTCTGAAGATTTATGGCCAAAGCTCAGAAAGCATATTGCAGTTAAAGCTAATCAATGTGGACGCTTTGATAATTTGTGTGTTTAGTTGTTGGTAAATGCAGAGGTTATTAAAAGTTCTTTTAAGATGGCTTGCTATTGATATTAATTAGCTTTTTTTAATGATGTCTACCATATATTTTTTTTTTCCCTGCCATATGTGTACAGACTGTTTAAGGTGAAGTAATTCTCTGTAGCAAGTGGGATATATATACTATTAAGTATTTAATTTTTAAGACAAAGCTTTCAGGTCCTGTACCTAGTGCAAGATCACTTGGGGTTTAATCATTCTAAGCTGTGCTGGAAATTAAGTGAACTTTTCAGCCTACAGCAAAGCATTCTTGTAAAGGAAAGTCTCTACCGGTGTCGCTGCCTCCAATTGGCCTACACTGATTTACAGTAGCTGAGAATTTGTCCATTTTGGAAGTTGGCTTTTGCATTCCTTGATGCTTTTCATAGTTATGTTTTGCAGATCCCTTGAGTTTTCAAACCTCAAACTTATCACAGCGTAAGGCCACAGACTTAATGCAGCTGTCAGGGTGAGGAATGCAGACTCTGGAGTGGCCTGAGATTCTCAGCATTGCTCATATTCTGTAATACAGACATATCCACAAGCTCTTGTGTGCACACTTCTCCAGTTTGTGTGTTCCTCGGCTTTGCACCTTTCTGAGATGCCCAGCACTTATCTCATATGGGAAACATTTAGCTTTGTAGGTGTGGAAATGGAGTCGCAGTACTGGATGGGTAATTATTTTTTTTCTTTATAGCAGGTGGTGGCAGGGTGGTTTTTCTTCTTTCATATTTTGGGGTGTGAGTTTCCAGAAGTTGTCATCTAACACCCACTGCACTAGAACTCAGTAGAAGAATAGTCAGGATATTGTTAATCACAGTATTGCTTATTTCATTGCTGTATGCACTTCAATTATTTTTTTCTGGCATTCTCTTCTGTGTCCCATACATACTAATTCCTGGAGTTCCTGGATTTCCCAAACACCGCATCTGCTGTGAGGGTGTGCTTCATGGAACAGATAAAAGAAGTGGAAAACTCCAGTAGCTTGCTGGTTTGAAACCAACCTGGGTTGGAAATAATAAAGATTTATTGCATTCTGTGTGCCGCTTGCAGCCTTTTTGAAAAGTATTGATAGCCAGTGTCTGATTCCTGTTGGACAGGAGTCCACGGTGCTCACGCAGTTACAGCTGGTGCTGACAACCATTGCTTCATCTGCTTATTTACTGTAGAGGTCAAAGACTGAATCGGAGTGAAAACTGAACTTGCTTCTTCCACTCCAAGTCACAGATTAGATAAATTACATGAGCGTTTGAGAAACATTCCCATTACTGAAGCTCTTCAGCTGTTGCCTGAAGAGGGAATTCATTCTCTTTTGCTACTCTTGCAATTATTTTCTGCAGTGAAAAATGAAGGTGTGTGTGCTTTTATACATCAGCTAAAGCATTCTTACATACCAAGGATCTATGTAATTAGTGGGGTTTTGTTTTGATGACCAAGGAAAATCAACAATAATATCTCGGAGAAATAACTGTTTCATTGAACTGGGTAATGGTTGATTTTTGACTGAGGATTGGGTTGGGTGCCTGTTGAATATATGAGGGCATAAGTAATAGTGCACAAGTATGGAGCTATACAGTGCAGAGCCATACAGTACAGTGTATGCAAATATGTGCAATTCAAGGATAGGATGTCACAAGAACTGTTTGTTTTGAAACTATCCCATTTGCTTGCTTTTTAAAAAACAATACCTGAGCTGAAGTGTAATAGTAATTTTTCATGCCATTTAGTCTTGCTGTGATTATTTTTTTTTTAACAGGAGACTGAAAAATCACAGAATTGTTAGGATGTGGTATTGTGTGTAACATAAAATTTGCATGCTATGACACTTATGTTTAGATTGAATCACACAGTATTTGCTCTGTCAAAACAGATCTTAGACAAAATGTCCGTGGGCATCTGCATATTTCTGATGGGGTCTGAAATTCCACTGTGTCCAGCCTCTGAGCTCTGCCAAACTGTTCAGTCTCTGTATAATCTATAGAAGTAATAACTTCTAGAAGACATGCCACAGTATTGAAATTAACAGATGGTACTGAACTTTCAAACTGTTAAAAAAACAAGCCACCTGTTTGTGTACCTGTCTACGTAGAGTTATGTAGGCTCTGGAAACTTGCTTTACAATCCCCGTTATTTTCCCTCAAATATATATATATAATTTTTTTTCCCCCCTCTGGGGGTGTCTTTTTGAAGGCTCAGTTGTGGGTGAATTTTCAGAAACTGTTTTTGACTATTTAAAACCAACAGGTTCTTATCTGCTATGGGAAGCTAAAGCTGTATTATTTTGTCATGGGAGCTGTATTTCTGACTTGTAACCACAGTCTCAGTTTAACTAATCCAGCAGTTAGTGGCAACAGACAGGCTTAAAGTAGAATTTATCACGGTTGCATGTTGAGTTGAAGCTACCACTTAGCCCTTTCATTTCCTTTGGAAAACCATTGTTGACACTTGAAAGGTGTTTCAGGAAGAAATTGATGGTGCCTCCATTTTTAAAATAATAAAAGTATCTGAGTTAATAAAGAAGCACTGGTTCAACAATTCAGATGAGAACTCTTCTCTACAAGGCAGACTTCCCACATCTCTGCTTGACAGCTTTCCAAAGTGAACCCCATCCAGATGACATGGCAGCTATTAGCAATGGGAGGTTGGATTTTTGTTTTGAAGTTGGATCTTTTGCCGGTATATAATATCCCGCTCCTGTACTACGTTACGCATGCTTAGATCATGCCAACACTAAAATACTCAGGTGTTGGTTGAATAAAACCTTCTCTTCGTGCGAGGGAGACCAACTCCTCTGGTCAGGAGCTACTCAAAAAAAAGTTTGTTTTGCTCCTTTACTCAAGGTTCATCTCTTTTAAAGTAGAGCAAGTATCTGAGACTTTGAGCTCTCTGGAGCACAGAACGATTATTTTTCTGTAAAATAAAATGTATGTCTCGTGCTTTGAATGCATAATTTTCATTGATCTGTAGCAGCTGTGTTTTCTATGAACCATATGAAAAATAGAGAATACCATGGTGTTACCTATGAACAGCTTGTTCTCAGGTATTCATTCAGCGTGAGGCAGAAATTACTACCAGAAGGCAACACAGAATAAAATTCCTGCACAGTTACATTGTTTTCCTTCTGTACCTTCTCTCCTACCTGGTTCCTTAGAAACTAGAAATGTAGAAATTTCTGCAACCAGTAAACCAGGGAGCCTGCACACAATGCACTTCCCCAGCGCGGGACCATCCAGCACTGGATGAGGCAGTGATCCCATAGAAAAAATAATAGGCAATTGTTAAAGCCATTTCTAGCATGCACATGATTCTACTTAATTTTATTTCACTGCAGTCTTCTGGCTCCTAATGCTCCCTTCTTTGTTTGTTCCCAGTTTTCAGTCCTTAACAGCTCCCAGTAGCAGTCCTTAATA